TTCTTGCTTTGTGATTCCTGGCACATAGGGCAGACCAGACCAAGTCATGTAGTACAGAGCTTGCCTGTCAACCCCTGAAAACCTCTAAGAAGGATGGAGCTTCCTTTGTCTTATAGGGACTCCCCCTTGGAGCCATCACAATGTTGCCTATGGTATGACACTTTAACTTTCCCATCTCTCTCCACTCAGAAACCATGTTATGCTATTCATGGCAGCTATTTTTCCAACTCTTTCCCATCTCCTCAGAGGGGACTCCTCATTGTGACCCCCTATGGCCTTGCTCTCAAAACTCTCCTCAAACAGATCTTGTGAGGGGCAAATGCTATCTCAGTTTCTTTTTCTAAAATGTCTTTTATCTCTTATCTAACAGGGACTCCCTGGAGGAATTAGGTCAGTAGGGAACCTTTGGAGGTGATATCTCATTATTAGTTCCTTCCTGTTCCTCCGCCTGCTTCCCACCCGTGGTGAGGTAAAGAATCCTCTCCACCACACAGTGCTGTCATCGCATACTTTCACTCAAGTGCTTAGGGAAAAACACAATGAGCTGGAACTTGGAACCTCTGTAATGGGCAGAAGCTTCAAGTTGCTCTTGAGGGTATTTCAGTCACAGCTGCACAAAAAGGAACCCATATGGCCATGTCCAGCAGCACAAAAATCTAGACACAGGGATACAAGATGAAGAGAATGTCACTCCTCTACCTACCAGCTTGTTCCTTCTCCTCTGGCTCCACTAGTTTTAGACTATTGGGGACTGTGACAAACACCATAACCAGAAGCAACTTGGGCAGTGGAGGACTTATTTTATCATACACTTACAAGTCACAGTTCATCCCTGAGGGAAGTCAGGGCAGAAATTCAAGAAAGAGCTTGAATCAGAAAGGACAGAGGAACACTGCCTGCTGGCTGCTGAGTCAGGCTGGATTGCTTCCAGGCTTGTGTCCAGCTAGCTTTCCTACACAGCCTAGGGTCATCTCTTTCAGGAGTATGCCACCTATAGTGACTGGGCCCTCTTACATCCATGCTCATTGAAGACAGGCTACAGATAATGCCATAGGCCATTCTGATCTGAAAGTTCCCTCCTCCCAGGTAATTCCAGGTTGTGTCAAGTTGACAGTAGAAACTAACTTATGCAGGAGTCAAAGGGATTCTTCTACTTGGAGGATTCGGGCACAGTTCCCTGGAAATACACACTGGTTCTCTAAGACTCCTCATGAGAGTGGGTTGAAGAAGCACTAGCTATGCTGACATTGGTGGCTATGGTGACTGTGGTGGCTATGGTGACTGTGGTGGCTATGATGGCTGTGGTGGCTATGCTGACTGTGATGGCTATGCTGACATTGGTGGTTATGGTGACTGTGGTGGCTATGGTGACTGTGGTGGCTATGGTGGCTGTGGTGGCTATGATGGCTGTGGTGGCTATGATGGCTGTGGTGGCTATGGTGACTGTGGTGGCTATGGTGACTGTGGTAGCTATGTGACTGTGGTGGCTATGTGACTGTGGTGGCTATGATGACTGTGGTGGCTATGTGACTGTGGTGGCTATGTGACTGTGGTGGCTATGGTGATGGTAGTGGTTAGAATGACAGTATAGACTATGATCATGGTAATGGCTACGGTGCCTGTGAGGTCTGTAATGACTCTGCTGCCATTGCTGATGGCCATGATGACAATCAATGCTATGATGACCATGTTTGCTCTGATGATAGTGATGACCAAGGGTGGTTATGTGATGAGTGAAAGGATGGCATCTGGCCATGGAAACGTGCCCTCCCACTAGCAGCATATCCAAGGGCCAACACTCACAAGCTAAGACCCTCATGAAACTTTGACCTGACAAGGGACCTGATAGAGACAAAGGGAGCCCTGGGGTTGTAGCTCAAGGTTAGAGTACTTTCCTAGTACTAAGCAGATTTTGGGTTCCATTCACAACACTGAAAATAAAACTAAAAGGAAATAGAGATTACACTATGTGCCTCAAAGCGAGGGGTCACCAACACGATCCCTAGCCTTAGGAGCAGCTATTTAACAAGGACCCTAACTTCTGCTTTGTTTTCAGCTTTCCATTTGTTTTCCTCTACTGTGTTTTTTTTTTACAGGACCAACTAGTGATAGGCATCTCAATACTTAACAAAAGTAACCATCTGTATTAGCTATGTTTCAAGTTGCTGTGGAAAAAATACTCAATATGTAGGAGACAATTTAAGGATGGGTTGGCTTTGGAACAGAGTTTGAGGATACAGCCTATCGTGGTGAGAAAGGCATGGCAGAAGGAGTAGGAACCATGTATTTGGTCACATTGCATCAGTAGAAGTGTGACGTTCAGAACTGTAGAGCACCATATAGACTGAATAGTATCTCCCAGCCTCTTCTGTAGTTAGCTCACTAAGGTAATGACATTCTGCTAATGAGTAGGAATCCGATGCATGTACGTAATTTCTGGGATGCCGCCATAAACACGATGGGTCAAATGCCCTTCAGTCCTCTGTGCTTTCTGATGCCCGAATGGGCTGTGGACTCAATAGTTGGAGAGCAAGCAGCCACCTTGGGTCAAGAGGTATAGGATAGTGTAGGACAGTGTATTCTTGCACAGTATAGGACAGATTTTAAAGGCTGGTTTCTAAGGACAAATTATATTTCTTCAATATAATAAAATAGGGACAGATTTTTTTTTCAATGTGCCAGGGGAGCCAATGGTAAACAAGACAATGTTTCTATCCAAAGGAAACTTACACAAATATTGAGATGACTGACAATTAGACAGGGATATTTCAGAAAGACACAAAGTATTTAACCTAAGCAGCCAGCACATGGTAGAAGTTGTGGTCTAGGAGTACATTGCCCTAGGAGGTAGAGGCAGGATGATCTTAAGTTCAAAGCCCAGTGAGATCCATGATAGCCTGAGCTACAAATAGAGAGCCTGTCTTGAAAACAAAGTTTCTGAAGAAAATGACTCAACCCTATACAGACAGGTGAAAGAATCGGACAAGAGATTGGGGAAGGCACGAAAGAGTTGTCTTGCTCAGGAATCTTATCAGGGGTTGGTACTGTTTATCCTTCCTTAGGAGTTCCGTAAGTAGGGGGTATTCCTGAGAAGGTGCAGGTGCAGTTAAGGGAAATCAAACAAGAAGAACAAGCAGGTATGATCTTTAGAGAGATGCAACTGTTTTGTGCAGAAACCACTGAAGTGGATCAAGTCAGAAGAAGGCAGATCAACTTGGTGCCTACAGGGGAAAGATTAGATTTTGACAAGAAACTTCACGTTGACCTTGTTTAACTGGGAGTGTATACACTGCAATTTTGAGGAAAAGCCAGCTTCACTTTAGGCCTGGCTTCCTAAGCTAAAAGAACATGTAATTAGGCACAAAATTGAATCTTAATCAAAAATGAGAAAGGGACTCAGAAGAGATGGAGCAGTGTGTTGAAAAAGCCTGCTTATGGTAACTGCTCCACTAGCCTCGCCTGCACACAGGCGGCCTGGTTTACTTGAGAGCTCAGTATTGTTTTATAAAACAAAAATCCCAGCCATTCCATTTTACCAAAGACTTAGGAACCAGAGGCTGTGGTGAAAGCCTGCTAGCTCAGAGAGACAGAAAAAGCGCCCAGCTGACCTTTCTACTTCACCGGAAGTCACAGAAGGAAAAATCTCTACTTCTCCACGCTGTAAATACCCTTCAACTCAAAGCCCTTCCTTTCTGTTTACTTATGCTCACTCCCTGTCAGCTGGTCACTTGCTCCACCTCTTGACCTAGGGTTGACTTTAGCTCTTGGATTAAAGGTGTGTGCTAGGGCTGAGCCACACCACAAATACTCGTTTACAGTAAACAGAAAGCTCTTGAGTTAAAGGTGTGTGCTTTTGGCTACAATATGACAACAATGGGATCAAATAAAGGTGTGTAGCGCAGGGTTTGGGAGTATCTGAGTCAATTTTATCTGAGACCAGAGAAACACTGGGCTGCAGCAGCTGAGAGAATGAGAGCACAAGAAGGAAAGGGGTGGATCTGTTGGCACTGGTCTCTTTAGCTCTTAAGTGCTCCTCTGCTCTGAGGACTCTGCAGCCCCTCTATGGCGGGCAGTTAGGGGTTCTGGGAGAAGAACACTGTGCAGCTTGGTCTGAGAGCAGTAGCTACCAGTACAGGCCAGCAAGAATTTCCAGCCCTTTGACCATTTGCATTTAGAATTCAGCAGCGCCGCAGAAGTTGGCCAGCTTGTGCTTACATTTTAATTTTTTAACACGGGTGAGCGTGTGGGTGCACGGGAGAAGGAACTTGCAAAGTGGTTTGGTTTTTAAATAAAAGAGTGAACTGCAAAACTAGGCATCAGCAGAAAGCGCAGGTCAAGAGCGCAGACACGCCCCCAAGCCACACCCCCAACGAAATGCCAGCCTCAGACTCCCACGTCTGGAGCGCGCAGGCTTGTGGGGTTAGGGGCGCGTAGTTTGTGTGTGAGAAAAGGGATGCTCAGGCCAGAGGCACAAAACTCCTCCGTTACCAGACGGAGAAGTCAAAGAGATGCACTGATCAGGACTGTGTGCTATGAGGGGGCGCACGATGCAGCGGCGCAGGGATACTCCCCAGCACCATCAATAGGATCGGGGGGGGGGCGGGGGACGCACAGATCCTAGACATGGATTCTCCACATCCCATCCCCATCTGCGGGATAATGGGGAGCGCATGGGTCAGGGGCATAGATGTTTTCCCAGCCGCAGCCGCGGGGTCCTGAGAGGCCGGTGCACACAGGTTAGGAGCGCGCAGTGCACTGGCGCGCGGATCCCTCTAGTCTTGGCCATGGGTTCCCACAGTCATAGGATTCTTGGCACTGAAGCTCGGACCTGGCTTCAGCATTAAGGCCGCTGTCCCCAGGGCGCGCGCACCAGGGGCGCGCAAGGCCGGGATGGGCGGGCCGGGTGCGGGCGCGCGCTCCCGGGGGCGCGGCGCTGCCAATCGCAGACAAAGGCCGCCCAGCAGATCATGTGGTGCGGCGAGAGGAAGTGCGGCTTGTTTTCCCGGCTAGGCTCTGGAGCGGCGGGCGCGGCGCGATGCGCGGGTACCCGGGAGCGAACGGCTGCGAGCCCCGATGAAGCTCGAGCCGCCCCAGCCTGATGGAGGCGCCTCCGTGGGAGCCGGTGCGCAATGACTCCCTGCCTCCTACGCTGAGCCCCGCGGTGCCGCCCTACGTGAAGCTCGGCCTCACCGCGGTCTACACCACCTTCTACGCGCTCCTCTTCGTGTTCATCTATGCGCAGCTCTGGCTGGTGCTGCGCTACCGTCACAAGCGGCTCAGCTACCAGAGCGTCTTCCTCTTCCTTTGCCTCTTCTGGGCCTCGCTGCGTACTGTGCTCTTCTCCTTTTACTTCCGAGACTTCGTGGCAGCCAACTCGTTCAGCCCCTTCGTCTTCTGGTTGCTCTACTGCTTCCCCGTGTGCCTACAGTTCTTCACCCTCACGCTCATGAACTTGTACTTCACGCAGGTGAGAGACGCTCACCTGCCCGGGTTGCCCACCATCCTCCGGGAGGGGGCAGGTCTCCTTGGCCGCAGGTTGAGGGGGTCGTGGTGAGGCGCTGGTCCTGGGGTCATGAGACCATCCATCCCATCTGCGAGCCCTATTCGCAGGTGAACCTCCACTGTTCCCAAACATAGGGAGGACTCATAGGGCGCCGGGAGTCTTCTGTGCACATCACATTCGGTGCTGATGCAAGGAGTGCCTGAATTCTATTTTCCCCTGTTTCCCTTGCTCATCTCAAGACACCTATCCCTTAGCCTGGAAGGCCATCTGCATGTTGGCTTCACTTTGGGGCCAGGCATGGCCTGTTGGAAATAATGATGGGACAGGCTGGGTTTTGATGAGATGTTTTGAACCTTCGGGATTAGAATCCCTACTGTACTGTGAATTAGTAACTCATTCCACAGGATTGCTTCACCAGGGCAGTCTGGTGGCACACCCAACCCCGCAGTTGCAGGAGGTTTTTGGCTTGCTGTCTGAACTCATCGGAGAAGCCTCAAGAAATAGCCATAAAATTGAACCTGAACTCTTTTACAGGACCAGCAGCTTGGTTTTATGAGACCTGTAGTTAATATGCTAAAGGGTTGCACGAGGGCTCTTGTGGCTGTGTCTTAATGAAAGTACAGTGATTGCAGAAGGCTTTACCAATACCGAGTAAAGCCTTTCACAAAGGCTTAATGATACTGATGTTGCCCTGGCCAGCTCCAGTTCCCATTAGCTTCCCAGGCACTACAATGTCCATTTTCAAGTAGTACTCTGTCCAAGGGGCAAGCTCTTATTGTGTCACCTGTTGGGGGTGGTTTACTTGTCTTCTTGGCAGAGGCTCTGTGCAACCAGGCATTCTGTGCCTTTGAACAGTATCTCTGTTTTTCAAAAAGAAAATGTTATTGAGGAAAAGATAATGGTCCTTGTTGGCGTGCAGATCAGTGGTGTGATGGCGATGAATAATGGGTCTGACTGGCTAGGGTCACAGTTGTTCTTGTATGGTGGAAATTTGGGAGAAATATTTTTGGCTAACAAATACCAGGTGTATTGGTACACACCTGAAATCCTAGATCAGGGGTTCTAGGCCAGCCTCAGCTACACTGTAATTAGGGCTAGCCTGGGATATATGAGGCTCTGTAGGGAATCTAAAGGAGAGAGGAGGAAAGATATCAGACATGTTGGGTGTGGTGGTTCATACCTGTAATCTTAGAACTTGGGTGGCTGAGCCAGGAAGATTGCTATGAGTTCCAGGGTAGCCTGAGCTATAGCATGAGACCTTGTACCCCTCCCCCAGTCAAATGTAATATTTAGTGGAGTATGCATATACATATATATTAATATTTGATAATACTATATGTATTCAATCTCTGCTTGGAGACTTCTTAGTGGTCCTGTGGGTCAGCATATTTTCCAGTCCAGGGGTAATAGGCATGGCCTGTCAGAGTGCCATGTTGAACTCCAGTCCAGGCCGTTGGGCTCTGTGATATATAGGTTTTATAATTGGATGAAGACAGGGTGGTTCCTGCAAGATGCACGGGTCAGATAAGGTAGTGTCACCTGGAAAACCATGTCTCAGATCGAGATTTTATCTCTTGTCCCTTTTGAGTACATTGCCCTTACTCTCTGGCAGTCACATGCCAAGCCTGCTCTTAGAGTCGGATTAGGGACCGGCCTGCGCATTTTCTGCACCATCTGCTGGTTGTCGAGTAAATGCTGAGCAAGGGGAAAAGTGACCAGGCAGGCAGAGCCACTGGTCAGGAGCACCCCCACCCCCATCACTATCCTTGTTTTCTCTATGCCTCCCTCTTGGGTGGGCATTTTGTCTGAGGACTCAGCTGGCAGGAGAAGGTGGCACCACGGTGGCGGCATTGCTAGCTTCCTGACAAGAATTCTGGTCCATCTGGAGAGTTAGAAAGTTGGCTCTTGGACTCCAGCCTGCCAAGCTGAAATGTGGATTTCCAAGGATCTCATCTCACACCATGGGGGAGGGCCATGACTATCAATTAAGTGTGTATTGATTGGGCCTGGTGGTGCCTGTCTGGATTGCTGGAAGTTCAAGACCATCCTAGACTACAGAATGAGACTTATTTCAGACCCCCCAGAAATATTCAAATCCAGTTGAGGTGATAAGATATGTACACACACACTTGCTGGTCATGACTTAAGGGACTGAAGAGCGGAAGGGCTGGGATGCTTGTGCAGGACAATGCTTCCAACCCCAGAGATGGAGGTCTTGAGGCAGGACGCTGGGTGGGGGAGAGCTGGGTGGCTTAAGGGTTGGAAATGACCAAGAGAGTCTGGGAGGTAGAGGAAGCTGCCTCCTGTTGTCATGACCTTACACCTGGCACACTAATGTCACTTAGCCTTCCTTATAACCCATGAGCTGCTTCTTCTCCCTCCCAAGACTCAGAAAGAGAAGGCATTACCCACAGAGTGAGCCGACATCCCAGGTGGAATGACCCCACCCCTGGAATGCCCCACGGTATTTTTGTTGCACGCATTTTATTGCACACACACACACACACACACACACACAGAGAAGTTTGAAAAAGGGTGTGTCCCACTTTCTCAGCCTGTTGCTCTCCTTCAAGGGCCTGTCAGGGGAACAGTGCCTTGCTTGGTAGCTCAACCTGTCTACCCTGGTCCTGCTCTGTCTCTGCCTCTGTGGGTGACTACTTTGTCTATGAGGTGGGCTTTAGTTTCCTTCTGGCCCACTTTCTGAGTCTTTTGAGTGAAGCCTTAGGAGTGGTAGGGTCCCCTGTATTGTTTAACCACACAGATGCTAGGCTATGTGCCTACTAGTATCTTCTTCTGGACTCTCCATCTGGGCCTATTTCCCTTGCCTGATGGGAGGGCCCTCTCCTCTACTGAAAACTGAGCCAGGAGCAGGCACTACCCTCTAAGTTCCTGCAGCTTTCAGACTCACAGGACTTCAGTACAGTGAGCTCTGACAGAACTTCCTTAGCAAAGTCACCTTTATCTGATACCTATACCTATTGGGCCTACAGATTCTCAGGCCAGCAAGTGCCTGTTGAGGTTCCTCAGAGACCCTGAAGGAGGTGCTCTCAGGCCAGCAGGCTCATGAAACGCTCCATTTCGGCCTCCCTTTCTGTTGTGTAGCCAGGAAGATGGAGGGGCAGCCAGTGACTGGCTTGGCCTGCTAATTGTAAGAAAGCTGTATCAGCGTGAGCGTATGCTATCCCTAAATATTTGGGCTCTATTTAGTATACAGGGTATTAAGGACTTGTTTTTCCCAGTGGTGGATCTTGCACCAATTCCATGGGACAACTGAGTTGCACGCGGCTTGCAGGGGAGGATCAGACATACACAGATGCCATGGACCTAAAGTCTGCTGAGCACCACATCAGATCATTTTCTTCATAGTTCACAGGGCAGGATGGGGGCTTTGACACTGAGGCCTGTGGACTCAGTGCATTGGTCATTGTAGTGTCCCCCTTACTAGGTTATAGGGGCAGATGGTCCAAAGCAAAAAGCCTCAGCTCCCTGCATGAGGCAGGCCTATTTTCACAGCAGAGGCTGAAGGTCATGAGGTGGTTGAGGCTCTGAAATCCTGGTGGTTGGAGCTCTGTGTACCAGACACCCTAGAAATTTCTAGTCTAGGACTTCAATTTTATAGACTCCCGAGGATGGTTGAGATGAGTTCAGAATTTTTTTTGTGAACCCTATGACAAGGTCCTTCCATGAGAGGAGTGAGCTCTCTGTGTGGGAGAGGTGGTATGGACATTGACTTGGGAAATAGGAGACATCAGAAAATCCAATCTATGGACTCTGTCACCACACCACCAGGAAAACGGGGTAGCAGATTTTGGACTAAGTGTAGTTTTGTTATGGCTTCTAGCAGTCAGTTCAGTCAAAACTTATCTATTCAATGCCTGTATTAGTTGGGCCTTTGAGAGTTGGGAGGGGCAAGGAAACACCTAGGCCTCTTGGTGATTGTCAAGTAGTCTAAAGCTTGGGAAACAGACAAGGCAGATCTTGTCGGTTCCCAGGTATCTCATGTCAGAGCTGGAACCATGCCTAGTCTGGGCTGTGCACTACGCATAGCCCAGGTGCTCTGGGCCTTTCGGCCACTCCCCAGGCTCTTGGTCAGCCAGGGCTGTGTGCATTTCTTGGTGTGCATTTGTATAGCTGCATGTGTAACCACAGGAGCAAAGGTGTCATCGGCACTGTATGTACTGAATTGCTCCCTGTGTGCATCTGTGAGAAGTTGTTTATGTGCATGCTTGTGTGTGTGTGTATGTGTGTGTGTGTATATATACAAATGTCTGCAAGTACATGTACCTGTGTACCTGTGTGCTGGATGTAAGTGAACCCTTATATATGTCAATGTACATGCTTGTGTATATGCCTGTGTGTGTGCCCCTGTGTACATCTGTGAAAACTTGCCCATGTGTACATGCTTGTCTAAATCTTGGGTGTATACTCGTGTGTGTGTGTGTGTGTGTCCATGCTTATGTGCATCTTTGGTTATATACTTGCTATGCATGCTTGTATGTATGTGTCTCTCAATATCAGTTTGTCTACATCTGTGTGTGCCTTTGCATATTTGCATGTGCTAGTGTTTGGATAGCTATGTGACCTGTGTCTGTATGCCTACTCATGGAGAGCTCACGTTCACTGTCAGTGCTCCTGCTCCCAGTGCCTCCTGGGTAGAACCTCCTGTCTGAGCAGGCCAGACTCCTCTGTTGTCCCCTCTGTGATGTCTTTGACTGTTTTTTGAGACAACATCTCACCAGGTTGTCAAGTTTGGCCTTGAATTTGCCAGATAGCCCAGGCAGGTCTTGAACTCTTGACTCAGGCTCCTGAGTAGCAGCTGGGATAGCATGCCTGGGATAGCAGATGTAACTTTAACATCTTTATTCTCTGCATGTTGTTTCCTCCCTTTCCCCAAACTTCCTTTGAATGCTTGGCCCTCTGGGAACAGGCAGACACCTCCCACTGTATTTTGTGGTTCAAGTCTC